GAAAACCCGAACAAAGCTTTCTTCGGTTTTGGTGCAAATATTTATCCGATATAATCCAAGTTATATCCGACAGAAAATGATATCCTGCCGGGAAAATAATCATTCTGTTGTGTTTCATAACGTAGTTAAGAAAACAACCGATCTCTCTCTCGAGAGAACTTCGCTTATTTTTCCATCGCTCGTGAAAGTGCGCAGATGGACGCGAAAAAAAGTATACTTTTTGTACTTTCGATTAACTTTCGATTAACTTTATTACGAAGGAGCGGCTGACGGGTTCTTGAGCGTACATTTTTTTTTTTGTTATAAATTTTCCAATCGTTGACCTTTAATCCTTAATCAAGTATCGTACGAGAACGTTGAACGTAAAAAATAAAAAAAAGCTTGTGCTTATATCATTATTTTTCTTACTGAATAGTTAAATATATTTTCATTAACGAGACAATGAGAGAAATGATATATCTCGTACTTTTTTATTATATAAGTATTTCTTTCTTATTAAATTAATATAATTTATACATGTATATAGTAAAGTATGACGTAGTTATCTTGAAAGGATCTTTTCCCTTTCTCAGATTGATAAATACGTGCTTCTCGTGTGTAACCGACTATCGAGAAACTGATACCTTTCGGTTTAAAGCGTGTAACATCGAGACGTAAGGGTTAAAGGTAGTTCATCAACCTGTTAAACGAATCGACCTAAAATACATCGCACATCGCCTATAATCCGCAACATGGTTAAGGCGTAACTGATACCAATTAAATCGTGAATAGTTGCGTTGGTTAGCTGTACCGTATGTATATCTTACATGCTCGCGGCAGGATCGGTTACGTTGTATTTCGTGCTTGTAACGCGAGAATATACGACGACCCTCTAAGCATCTCCACACAAGTGCAACAACGGTACAGGCTTCCGGTGGATGTCCCGGTGGAACATATTGCAGCAATATTTCGCCATTAAAATATTGCAAAACTATCGAGCAATTTATGCGATAAAAATTCACTTGCACATTTTGAGCGAAAAAAAATTATTTCCCAATATTTAAAAAAGTACTTATAAACATATTTTATTAGTTAGTTAATACAGGTTAATTAAGATCAATAAAATGCGGTTTTGCGCTTTATGAATTATTATCAATATGGGTTTTCGTACAACTTTGTTGAATTGAACGCTTCTGAAGATAAAGCTTCCAAATGAGTATCCAAACGAATTTAGTCGTTCGTGAACCATGTATTACGATGAAACACGCGTCCGTTTTTGTTACGCGACATTATTCTCGTCTCTATCCAGCATCTTTGCAACCTAAATGCACGCATACGGTCGACCTAGCAGATGTTTCCCAGCGGTTTTTGCTGTCGGCGAAGTAGCGCTCACGTTACTCTTGTTTTGCCCGGATAACTTTGGCTTCTGCTTCTTATCGGTCGGATGTTTATCCATGCGGAAATATATATATTTTTTTATTGAGATAAAATTATATCGAAAGAGATCGTTCAGTCCGATCGGTTTAAATTGATGTTTAATAACGTGTCATTATTAAATTTTTACATAATAGAAAGATGAGACAAGAAAGATATACATATATTCTATTTGTAGAAGATCAGAAATTTTGAATTACCTGATAGATTGAAATGATGAAAACAATGTTTGTTGATATTCAATTTAAATGAAATGAAATTGAAGTGAAGTCTGAAATTATCACACTTATTGTTTAATCAATAATATCACTAATGTTTGGTTTTGCATTAAACTTGTAAGATTTTTAAAAAAGCTAGCAACATTCTATTCAACATTTTATTTAATTTCAAGGAAGTTTTATTAGAACGTGTTTAATAACGACGATTGAAAAGCTACCTAAAAATTGTGAATCCAAATTTACTAAGAAAAAATTTATTTCAGATGAAAAACAGTACAAAATTTCTCCAACTGAAAGAGAAATATTTCTAGAATATCTTGTATTATTAATTGCAAACATCTACAATTCTACGTTTCTAGAATCTTGGAGTCCTTCTTGTTTTTAGTATGGCGCGTCGTATACGAAGTTGTTTCTATATCTATTTTAAGTTTACGAGTCGTTGCAATCCATATTTACGCGAAAGCGAAGTGAAAGACTTGATGAAAAGGAAAAGCAAGATACATGCTTGCAAGACGTGCAAAATCTTCTTCTTGGCAGTGCTTTTCTCTCGCGCGCGCGCATATTTCGTAGAAGCTTTCGCAATAGAAAATATTTCGCGTTTCGCAAAAGAGTAAGACAGATCGTCACTTTTATACTTCAACTAGATAACTTGGGTTTCGAAGATTTCAAGTTTTCTACATCCTGTTTTATATGTAAAATTATTCTTACAAACACATAACTTGTATTTCAACTACTTATTCTCAATAAATCATTATATCTCTAATCGAATATAATATTTATCCATGTATAAATTATTTTAAATATAATTATCTTAAAACTAGCTTAATCTTAAAACATGTTTTTTTTACAACATTAATTATAAAATTTCTTTATCTATCTAATTTTTTTCTTTATAATTTTATTTTACGTGGCAATATTCTTGTCATAAAAAATCGTAAAAAATTGTGAAATTTAGCATTTATATATAAAAAATTTTTATAAATAGATGATACTGTAATAAATTAATATAGATAACTTCTGAAACAGTTTTTGTCGGTATATTCTTCGAAAAACTTTTATAGATAATGTTGTTTAATTTACACGCGTAATTAAGGAACAATATTCGAAGCAGCGTCTTTTCGTATTCAATTCATAACGCTCGGACATTATGCAACACGCGGATCTGAAGAACTCCATTAAGCTCGATTAAAACGCAATGTGGACGCCGACTACGAAGAAGAAATTACGGGCCCGTCGTTAATCAGCGTTAGGAAGCACCTCAGGGTGCTACTCTATTTCTTTGAACTTTCCTGGATGAGAGAGAGAGAGAGAGAGAGAGAGAAAGAGAAGGAGAGAGCGAGAGAGAAAACGCGTAGCCGTTCAATTATTCGTCAGAAGACGTGCATAGAAAATATGCAAGAACTCCCCGCTGATCCGGATGATCGAGAAATAAAACTTGTTCCGGTCCGAATCACCGGGGAATCCGCTCCATTTCCACTGATAATTATTTATGGAAAGCAGCGCGGCAGGATTTAAACATCCCTGGTGTATACCTTGGCCATTATCATTTAAACTGGAATTTAAGGAGATTGGGAGAGATTGGCCCAGGTCAAACAGACTCAATTTTCGATAGATAATTAATGAAGACGAAAACGGGAGGACAAGGGGGGAGAAATCCTGTGGATATCTTAGCTCGAATCGAGGAAACAAGCGAGAAAGTCGAGAGAAATAAAAAAATATATTTACGCGAAAGAATTCATAATTCACGAAATCATCATTATATAGTATAATTTTGTCTGACAAATATCTTCCTTTTCCACTTAGAATTCTAGATTCTGATTTCTATGAACTTCTATAAAATTTCTTTACAAAATTCCATATGCGCATGAAGAACATCGATAGATACATTTAATAATTTTTCCTTGTAATCATAAATTACGGAATTATTTGTTAGAAAGCAAATCTTTGATTTATTGACAACAATGTGCCATGTGCATAGAGCAACTACGTTTTTATGAGACCTCTCAAAGTAAGAAATTGTCATTTTGTTCGAAAGAAATCGTCGTAACAGAGAAAGAAGCGCAAAGGATACACACACGGAAATCAGTATGCACTGTGAATAAGCACATCGCGAACTGGCATCTCGCTCTTTTCGCTAAATCAGTAGGAGTTGCGGTAGGAAAAGGTGGAAGATGGAGGTCGATGCGAACGCAGTGGTTGATGGGGTTTTCGCGGAAATCGCGTTGGCAACAAGGGAGGCGTAGACGGGCGCAGGCGGGGTGTGGAGGAGTATAAGGTCGTGTACTCAACCGGAATTCGATTTCTCGATCTGAGGGGGAGAGAAACGCGGACAGACACAGTCGGAATGCTCAAGCGAAATCTTCCGTCGCGCCAACAGCGTGGAGTTAAACTTGCTATTCGGCGTATGTACGATCCCCGGCGTGATTGTGGACGCGCCTCGTCAATTTTCCCAAGACATGTCCCTCGGCTACCCAGCCTCACCCAACCTTACTACCGCAAGAAAACCACGATAGATGACGAGCGAAACACTTTACATCTCAAAAGAAAATTCTTAAATATCCTTCCAATTCATTCTAGATGGAGATTTCTTTCATTTTGAATTATACATATATATATACCTATATATATATATGAGACATTTTTATCTAACTGTTAGATAATGAATATATTGCTAAAGACATTATATACAGTGTTAATATTATTTAATTAATTATTTATTTTAAAATTTAAAATCTGTGAAAAGCAGAGCATAGATAGATAGATAGATAAAAGAAGAGAGAAAGAGCAGTGTTATAAAAATCCAGATTTTTAAATTTTACATTTTTGTATAAAAAAATGAATTTTTTATTTACATTTATATTATACGTTTATTTTATGTAAAAATAATTAACGAGCAAAATTCCTCAATCTTGCTATTATTTTAAAATTTTTCTAAATTTATGCCAAATTGAATCGAAGCTCGAGTCGAAGTAGAGACAGAGGAAGGGAAGGGTATGGACTTTTCAAAGCGCGCAGGACAGTTTTAATTGACGCTAGAAAAAAAGGATTTACCCGACGCATCGATCCCTGCAGACAAGCTCCAGCCGCGAAATTTAATTGGAATCCGAAGAAGAGTCGATCTGAAAATTCGTCAGTTCCGAATTCACGAGCACAAAGCCTGTAATTTAATTAGTAGTATATTTTTTGATGGGTGGTTGCAGTTTCCGATAAAAAGACAAAAACTAAATTGAAAGACAGGTGCACAATAAGCTTATAGTCTTTTATGTCAATTAATGCCTTTGAAAAGTAATTACTGACAAGCTATTCATATATAAATTAAGTTTATATACATATATGTATATATATGATGTCCGAATCTTTCTGTTGCAGGGATCAACGGCAAGGAACATTCGTGGGATCTTTCGTGGCGTTCTGAATCGGTGAGTTTTCTTTTTTCGCGCTTGGAAATTTGTTATCAGGGTGTCAAAGTGAATGTGAGTTATCTATTATATAATTATATTGTAAAATCGTAATAGGATAATGATTATGAGTTTGAGTTTGAATGGCGAATAACGATTTACAATAACAAAATTAATAAATATATACATAATTATTATATATATATATATATATATATATGTATATGTATATATGTATATATACCTATACAATATTCAGTAGTTGAGGATATTATACAGTTACTTTAATGTGGAAAGAGGATAGTATGAATCTCTAAAGTTGCTCCGAAGATTTCGAGTATCTCAGCAACGTCGTATATGCGTCACAGCAAAGATATGAGCAGGTCGATGTACCATCTGACATATAGCATATCTGATATATAGCAATACATCGGCCAGCAGACCGATATGGAGATAAGCCCTGTTGTTGTAATCGGCCGAAAACCCATCGCTACAACATCCGAGGGCCGCTGGAGCAATTGAATTAATTTTGGTAACAAGAAGCGGCCGAGAGCCGCTAACGATAATTGCTCTGCCTCTCACTTCCATCTCTGTTGTCGCGTCGATGAGCAAGCGTTCAAATTAAATTTCGACATCTGTACCGTGAATCTATCAGATGGAATCGTGGACAGCTTGGTTTTAAACTTTTTTCGAGGCTTGAAATAGGTCTTGAGTGCGAAATTTAATATTTTTACATAGGATGTCTTTGATATATTTGGATAGATTCATTTTTAATGAAAATTTTCTTCAACCACCTTTTTGCACTATTGAAAAGATAAAAATATCTTAATAAGATTTAAATAGGGATTTTGCTTGAATATAGTAGGCGATATTAATAGAAAACGTGATAATAAACAAAGAAAAACGAATAAAACAAAATTTTATTAGATTAAAGTCTAAAGTTACGTATACGAATATAGAATATAAATTTCAGAAAATAAATTATTGGAAAAAGTAGATATTGCTAAAAGTAGATCAAGTACTAAAAAATGGTAATACGTATATAATATAGTAGAATTTTGTCAGATCGATTGTAAAAATAAAGTTGAACAAATTGAACTTGTACAACAAAGTCTCGTAACAATATATCATACAGTGCTTTTCTTTTTTAGCACAATTGTTTTCAACTTCGAAGAAAATCTTCGACCCGAGAATTCCAATTAAAATAATGAACTTCGAATGAGGTCGAAGATTAGCTGCACTATTGTTAAAGATCCCGAGAGCTATTCTCATTCTCATTTTACAGGCGATTAGTGAGTCGGAAAGATTTCTCGATCAAGGAGCTATTACACAAAAAGTAGCTTATAATTGGAGAATAATCTTTATATATTTAGTTGAAATTCTTAAAATTCCATGGCGTTAAATTTTAATTGCATAATAAATTTATGTTATTACAAGAAATAAAATATAATGTTTAAAATTAAATAATAGTAGTTAATAATAGTAGCAATTTGAAGAGCGGATAGGTCTCTGAAAAAAGCCCTAACGTCACCTACATCTAAAAGTTTCTCTGTGACTCCCACTCCCCGCCCCCCGCTGGTTTCTGTGGCTATGTTAACAATTTCAACCCGGTGTCAGCTCCTAGGCTTATGAGACCCATCCTTTTTTCTTCAAGAGCCTTGGGCTCTAGAAACATGCAGCCTTAGGATTTGTATTTTTTACGAACAAACGTGGCCATTCGATTGTGCTGAAGTGGCTACGAGAACTTCAATCTTAAAGCTAGCGCAGCCATTGTTTTTTTCGAAACGGCTGAAGAGAATAGAAGATATTTTCTACGCAAGTCCCATTAGGGACAGTGACATAATATATATAAAATATATAAATTGTCGCTCTCTTTGCCGCTGTTTAAAACTAAAGTGTATGGTAAATATTTTATTATTTATAAATAATCATTGATACTACTTGCGTAATAATTATTATTATTAGAGTTATTTCAATTAAGACTGCTTATTATGAAGCTTTTGAAATAATTGCGATACTGTAATTATTATTATAAAAATTACATCACACATTGAAGCTTATCCAATTATTATATAGAATATGTCATTTGGGTTAATTGGACTGTTAATCTTTTATAATAATTACAATAATTATTTTGAATTAAAGTTTGATTATTGTTTGAATTCTTCGTATTTTGTAATATCGAACATGTTTGTTGAATGATACGTAAATTATGAAAATGAGGATTTCGTGACGTGAGCAACACGTGAGATAGATTTTAATCATCTAAAAGTGCAATCTTAATCCGTAGCACATGATTACGATGTTGTTGAATATCATCCGGCTATCCGATTCCCCGAAGACACGTCCCGGCGGTACGGCGATTATTGCAATGTTCATTTAGACGAGAACCAAGTTTCGAGAGTTTTGATGATTTTCGCAAGTTCAGATTCTTAGGCGGAAAGTGCAAGCTTGACTACTACGATGATATTTCCGCCATTATAGCTCTCTCGTCGTACCTTCGCAGGCTGTATTTCTGTCTCCGTTTAAACGCTACTACGCAATCACGTTTTGCTTACACACGATTCCCGAGCGAGTACCTTCCGCGGAGTACACCGTCCGCTCCTGGGGGAGGACAGTTAAGGAAATTACGTGTATCCTACCACGGAAAATCATCGTGTTGTCGCGTATCGTCGTCCCATCTCATCGTCTCATCGGAAACGGACGTTCCGTAATACGCGTCGTCGGTTTCCATAAAGTAAGTCCGTTTTCGGTAAATCGCGCTGGGTATTCCCCGCTGGGGATGATCTCTCTCGGGTACTCCTGGTAATGACGGGCGGAGAAAGAAGTAAAGAAACGGGTGAAGATAGGAAGCCAGACGACGGGATAGGAGAACGATCTAAAGTGTCCCCAGCGAAACCCCGACGAAAATTACGAGGTCAACTTTGTCTCCCCGTCCCGACTATTCGGAAATCTTCCTTCTTGTCCCGCTTGCTTCCGCCTTGCATCGCGGCGCATAAAAATAAAACCATGCGCTTCAAGGACAACGGCGAAACGCTCCATGCGGGATTCTTTCGCCGAGAAGACCGGGGATGGTTCGGGACATGAAAGGGTAGGGGGCATAACAATAAAACGCCAATAGAACATCGCGCGTCAATACATATTGCATGGGCCGAAACCGATCTCTTTGCCTTCGAGCCTTTCGTGGCGGGCGGGGAGGATTTTTATATTTCTATAACCGGTAACATATACAAAGCCGATCCTTTAGGTCCCGCATCTGCCTTCCTCAGCTCCTTGTAGGCCATTCTCTAAACGTATTTGCGGAAAAATATTTGGAGAAGTGCAATTTATATGCGGATTTGTTTTAGGTACGGAAGAATTTATGTGATTCATTTTTTTCTGGATTTTCCGCAGAAAGTCCAGTGAAATTGTTTTAACATTACTGAACATTACTTTTTTTAACATTACTAAAGATGTTTCTAAATTTACGTTGAAAATGTTTGTTTTTGAAATAAGGAACTAACCTTTAAGTATGCAAATAAACAATAAAACTTTAAATGAAAGTTCTTCTTGGGAATTACTTAGACAATTTTTCTTAAGTGCTTCTTATCTTAAGCGTGTCAATTATTAATTAAAAGTTTTTATATATTTTTTGACACAATATAAAACTTTTAGAAAGTTATGTTTTATTTATAATTATGTAGAGTGAAGTTGTCTTCACACAGCGTAATTATAAATAATCATGCTGTGTGGAGACAACTTCAACGAACTGCACTATTGTGGTATAGTGTTCTTATGCAATATCGCACCAGGAAGGCTTATGATGATCACGAGGTGTCCAATTTTCATGTAAATTTATATATGCATAGTGTTTTGCATATGATGGAGGGTTGCAAGATTTACTTTTCTCGGAAGTTTGCATCCTTCAATCATACGCAGTGCTTCCATCTACACACAAATTTTCATGAATGTTGAGCGCGATGAGATACTTTCACTGTTTAAAAAATGATTTTGTATAAGTTATATATGTGTGTGAAAAATTATATAAATATGACTTAAATCGCCATTTTTCTTACGCGATACCGGATATAACGTACTTCGAAGGCTATACGGAAGAACGTGATAGATGGGTCTTAAAGCGACGCAAGAACGAGATAGTTCCATTGTCTCGAAGTGCTTTTCTTTCGTCGAAAATTCAGGGACGTTCTGGGAGGCAAAGAAAAAAATGGATAGGAAAGCACGATGAGATATTTGCGATATATACAACCGATATTTCTGCCGCGCTAGAGTGAATTGCTTCTACTACCCATCCCCGGATTCCCGGCATCTATGCCGCCAGTACAACTCCAAAGGTCTGTTATAGCCCGCTCTCAAACTATCCCCGAAGAAATACTGAGACAAACCGGTACGACCCACGGACTCGGCGATAAATGAGACTTTCCCGCTGCTTCCTGACCCGGCTACTGCTTCCCTCTCTCTCTCTCTCTCCCCCCTGAATTGAGTCTCGCTCTCGACTCGGCGAAATGAACAGGATGAACTTGTCAGGAACGTATCGCATGTGATCCGAGCCTTATAGTTTCCACATAAAAATTATAGATAGATATATCAAGGGTTGAAAGATGAGAATTAATGTAAGTTATAAAAATAATAATTTAATTTTAAGAATAATTTTATACTAAGAAATTGAAAAAAATATAAATATTATAAAATAATTAAAACTAAATAAATAAACGAAACTAAAAAAAAAAGATATAATTTATAGTAAAAGAAATTAAACATATTAGACGACTATCGACTATTTGCTTAAAGATAATTAGAATTTTTTTATGTTCTTAATTAGAAAATATTGAATTGTATGGTGTTCAAGAGGTGAATAGTTTTGGAAAGTTAGCGTGATATTGAATTTTTATTAAGCTGACACGAAACATTCCATACAATTCTAAGGAAGCTTTCGTTCTCTCTTCATCTGAATGTCAATTTTCGCCCAGAAAGTTACGCCACTGAGGCATTCGAAATCGATATCCTACGTCCTCTTTTCCGTCTCTCTTTTTCCTTCTTTATTTTTCTTTTGCAACGAGTAGATACACGATCTCACTTGGCTGTTGCTTCTATTTTGCAAGAAAGCAAGGTGTCTTCCAGCCCTCTCTATCCCTTCCGCTGCTCCTCATATCACCCTACCTCTGACTTTCCAACCTTTCTTCCTCGTGGCTACGAACGGTACTCCTGAATTATGTATGGCCGACAGTAAAAATTCGACTGTTTCTCGTTGCTGTTAGCCGTAAGGATAGCCAGGATTTCGGAAATGTCGAAGGCGAGTCGGTGGTTCGTGAGCACCCAGGGATCTAGAAACGTATCGAAGATCGAACGAATGCGCATTCGCTTTAATGCTGAAGAATCGCCGGTAATCTTCCGGTCTCCATCGCATCTTACTTCCATTTGCCAAATTTATTCCTCCACACGCGACTATCGGAAAATCGATATCTGAGTTATTAATTTACTAGGGCACTTACGTTTTCCTTCAAACGATTATTTTTATTCATAATATAACAAAGTACATTACATTTTATTGAACTTGACGATTCATTAATATCTTTTTAGAATATTCTGAATAATGTTGCAGTTGATACATTAACGAAATACAAAAAAAAAGGATTAGTAGTATGTGAAAATTTTATTGCATTATCAAGTTTAATCTCTTGCTGAAAGAGAGATTATCTTTCATTACTTAACAAAGTAATTACTAAAACTAAAATGAATTATAATTACTAATATTCTTTCTGCATCTTTGAAATTTACAATTATTTTGTATATTTGTTTAAGATTCTTCTATAGAATTTTACCTGTTAGAATTTATTTGAATTATAGCGATGCTAATAAAAATATTTAAAATACTTATAATTTGATTTAAATATACATATATATCTGTGGTTATTTAAAATATGACTTGAGCCATCTAAAAATAATTTATTTCAACTTATCTAACCGTATTAAAAGTCGAGATTTTTTTAAATTTGCTGTTAGTTATCATCTCTATGTCTCCTTACATCCAATTTTTGGATACAAATATTGGTCGCGCGTTTCAGTCAAGCGAATAGGTGATCTGTCTGGAAAAAAAAAAAGAAAAAGTATCGATGAAGAAAGGGCGGATGGAGCAAAACGGTAGAAAGCGAAGCGAAAGAATTGTGCCCGCGGGTACATAATGAGAGCGCGCGATAGAAGAACAAAGGTAGGGAAGGATCGTTCGACGAAGCCAAAAAGAAAGGACGGAGCTTTCGCCGCCGGGGGCCGGACAGATTCTGAAAATTATTCATCACCGCCGAGCATCTGCTGTAACTTTTAACCAAAGCGGTCGATATGGCTAGCAATGTCCGCGCGATTCTCTCTCGCGCATTATTTCAACGCGTTGAAAGCGTCGTCCTTTTATGGAGAATAAGACTTATTATTATAGCAAACGTCGTCAAAATTGAAAATGATCCGTACAAGAAGAAAATAAGTTTATTCGAGAAGTATTTGTATTTTTAGGAGTTTTATAGCTGGTATTTAAATAAATAAAAAATATTTAAATAAATAAACTGAGTAATGATAGTTCTCGTAATATTCTAAAAAAAAAAACTGCAAAAATATCAAGTTCAGAAAGTATTTTATGTCTTTAAAATAAATTAGAGAATCAGTAAGAAATTATAATTAAAGAAAAAAAGATATATTTTCTAAATTATTGTAAGAACATATCAATTTATCTAATTAAAGAATCTCATCAGCGAATGAGTGAATAAACATTTTTGTCATCACATATATTATTACGAGCGAAGCAAATCGTAAAATATTCGCGAATATAATATATAAGTTTAATTTTTAGCGAACAATACTCTTCTCTCTGAGGGAGGTTAATGAACTCCCTTAGAATTCTCTTGATTGTTTTATGCTGACAAACGAAAAGAACGCGATTCGCGATGCGGACGACTTCGCCGTCATTCAGCGTTCACATTAGCGATCAATCGATCGATGTGAATTGATGTCGTCCGGATATTCCTAAGCGGAAATCGCGATTTGTCAAGACCGTTCGATTGAAATGACATTCGGCTGTTAGGCGCGGCATGCATCGTCGCGACGCGACGCAACGCCTGATTTCCATAATTACGCGAGTCAATTTGAAGCCACTGTCGATTATAATTTACGCGGCCCTTCGCTTGATTGACGAATCCGTCGCTCGATCGGTCATATTGAAAAGTCCTATCGTCCCTAATCGATGTCAGCCTTCCCTATGCTGATGTTATTAATTGGCCGATAATGTGCAGGCAGTTGCATAGTTTTAAATCTTTTTTAAAACAGTACAAATAGCTTGTATTTTAGTGACACATTTTTATTGGTATTTGATTTTCATGATTACTTCTGATAGGTATACATGACTGGTTATTTTTTGATATTTAATTTGTCAAAAGTTTACGATTGACAAAATTTTACGATTGACCAAATTTTTTTAACAAAAGAGATTTGTGATCGATATAGCTTTTTCGAAGTATCAAATAACACGATAATTTCTATAATATTTGATATTGTAATATTTATTTATAATATTTGTGTGATATAACATAAAGAATTATTTTTTGATTAAAAATCTTAAATGATAATTTTTGACAAATCAAAAACGTTTATTAAATTCCGCAAAAATTTGCCGCTAAATAATATCTTTCTGTACGAAATGGACTGGTACACGGAAAGAACAATTTCGCTGGATCCAGATCTGAAAATGATTTTTGTTCAATAATTAAAATAATTTTATGGCAAAATAATTACTAGAATATCAAAACGTTTTGTAGGAATGTTTATCATTTTTAACATTCCAACAAAATTTGTTGATGATTCAACGAGAATTAATTTTCAGATCAGTATTAAGCAAAATGGGTAGACTTTTCAAAATTATTCTTTCCGTGTATTACATATTTGCTGCAATAGAAAATATTTTTGAGATTTCGTTACGTTGATAATCTCATTTTGTTACAACTCGTATTCCGGTATTCCGATAGTTTGTATTGAACTTTTGACCCCATTACTAGGCTTGTTCTCAGTGGCGATTTGTGCTTCATGAATATTTAATGGCAAACCTTCCCCACCGCCCGCATTCTACAATATACTGAAAAATTGGTTGCTTATGTATATATTTCTCGAAGAGAAAGACAGAAATTGGAGAGAAAGAGCACAAAACTAGTGGCTGATAATTTTTACTATTGTTCTTTTTGCTTTTATAACATGCATTGTTGCAGAGAATTTGCGTTACTTGTACTAGTCTCGAGAACAATAAATATTTCCCGAGAACTGACGTTGAAAGTAACAAAATTATCTCGAAAGTAGCACTCGCGTATTATTACGTGTATTATCAAGATATGTATAATATGTATGATAAAAATAAAAATTTAAAAGATAAAATACCATAAATGAATTTCACAAATTGTACTAGCTAGTATTTTGATTTAAATTTAATATTTTAAAATTTAAATTGTAACTTATTAATTATTTTGAGATATTAAAATGAAAAATTAAAATGTTTTGGAAACAAAATTTTATTTAATTTTTACGAATATTTGTAATTTATTTTATTTATACAGAATTAAAAATATTTATAAAAACAACTGATACGTTAATATGTATACGTATAATATTATATTTATATGTATACATATACATACATATAAT